TTGATGAAAAATAATCTTACCATTAGTATGTATTATTATTGGTTGGAATCATCAAGCCCTAATAAACAAGATTATTTTGCGAGTTAAAATTTTTAAGAAACCCAGATTACAATGGATCGTTATTATTATACTGTATAACGTATAACCCGTTTCCTATTACAACACGTAATCTGTAATCGTCAACTGGATAGACTCATATTTCGTCTCATTTTACTTTGAGTAGAATATTGTAATAATTATGTTTCCAAATAGGTAATTTGAATAATTTTTGTATTTGTGCGATATAGCTGACTGAAGTTTACTGGGCATATAAACGCCCCTTTATACCTTTAAATAAAAAACTTACAGTAAAGTTTGGAACCTTCTAAGCATTTTATCTAATACAACTCTTAATAATAATAATAGGTGATTACTGAAAATAATTCCAAACAACCATTGTTAAAAAATTAATCTTAAAATGCCACATTCCCTCATCACCCACATTTACATTATTATATCGACTTACTAATTTCAAGATTAATGTAGAAGATAGTTTTGTAATCTATGTGTGTATATATATATATAATGTATGATTAATGTATTACTGTATAAGGTACTGTATCCAACTCAACATTAGTATTATCTTCATATCGGATACATCGTGGTTGCTGACTGGCTTTACAACCGCATAACAACAGATGTTCTACGACATATACGCCGTACCTCTCAAGTTGCCTACATCACTATTTTTGGACATCTTTTGCAAAGAAAGCATAATGTTTAAAAACTGTTATAGTAAAACTTTAACACGATTAACTGTTGTTTGAACGATAGCAAAAGTAATCAAACTTAATGAGAGGAAAATTAATTTTCAGTAAACTGTTTAATTCAACATTAGACCTAGTCACTAGGCAGCCTACAGAAAATGTTAATTAAAATGCCCAGCTGCGCGCATCACGTTAACCTTGTCATTACCCTTTTATAACTTGAACTTGTCACCAAATTTAGATGGTCATATACTATCTGAAAACGAAACGGAATTGATATGTCTGTGTATTCGGTAAAACTTCATTAGAGGGAAAGGCTAAAGAGTTATTTTTAAAGAGACTGAAACCGCTGGAGGGAGATTTGTGCGCCTTCTATTTATTTACGCTCACATGGGAAATTTATCCCGAATGCAAATCAACAATTTAAATACAAATACAATGAAATTCCTCCCTGCTGACCATAAATTTAATTGTAACTAATGAGTTGTAGTATATATTGACATTTTCTATTTCATTGCGTGTCATTTTATAAACATATAACTTATTTTTAGCAAATTTCTTTTATAGGGAATAATCTATTGTTTAACCCTATACCGTAGATCTCATAGTAAGAAGACCTAGCCTTAGGACCCATTTACTTTTTCGTTCTGAGGTCCCCAGAGTCCAAAACACCATCCTATTGTGCAATGGGAACGCGGATTTTATATGGGTTTGGATTTTACGGGATAAAATAGGTTTTCTCTTTTTTTTACTCTTCAAACATACAGCATTGTACAGATTATATAATGTAGTTTATATAGTGTTCTAAATGCTGAAAGTAAACAAAAATTGTAAATTAAAATTCCCATTTTATTATCTTATTGAGATTCTCCATTTGATTATTCTCCAGAGCATTGATTATTCCCTATTAAGAATAAGCTGTTGTATTTTGCTTGTTTATGGATATAATTTGAAAAAAATTAGGCAATGTTTTTAATGTTGTCTAAGCAATCATTTTTTTACTAAAAAACACGCTTTAATGCACTTCCTGTAGCAGCAAACCTAGGTACTCATTAATTTTAATGATATTTAAATAGAGAATAAATATGACCAGTTTAATGTAATATTTAGTGAAACTCCAAACAGACAAATGGAAGTTCGCTTAATCTGCAGGTTGGCTGCGTTGCGAGGGTATTTTCAAACACCACGTTTGTCCTTAAAAATATGAAAATTATTTAATCCAATCCATAGTTTTGTGGGATCCGCACCAAAAGTGTAGGTTTTACCGAGAATTTTTTACAGAGAATTTTACCGAAGGAATAATGGCCTTGTCATTGACTAAGATCAGCTTTATTCTTAGTGATTTTATTAATTTCATTTGATTAATTGTATCAATCATTGTTTAAATTATGAAACCAATTCAAACCATTAACATGAACCTCAGATTTGTCGACGGATCATACTGTATATAAGACTCTGCAAGTCTGTAACATTGCTAGCCTCCAATATAAATTAACTGTACTTACTTAATATCGTTGCGGATGCAGCATTTTGTTAATGTAATGCACTTGAATAAGCTACTTTGTTGTACTTGTAGTTTCAATATTGAAAATTAGGAAATTCTTCATCTGCTGTTAAACTATCATCGTGTTTTATTATTACACTCCCTACAAACTGTATCTTTGACCCTTAGAAAATACGTTAAAAAGGTGTTATTAGCGTAAAAACACAAATTAAAAATAAGTTATAAGATTATAACTTTAGATATAATTAATGTAATGTTCGTGAAAGAAACATGATCTCACTTTCATCTGTATAAGTATTTTCTCACTGCAGCTATTCAGTTGGTATCCTTACATATTGTGCTCTGTCAATCTGAAAATTGTTGCCATTAAGCATGTTGCTAAATCCTGAGACGTAATCTCAGTACAAATACTCAGTACTCTGTATGTAAATCTGAGACACTAGGACAAACACTATAGTTACATGATTCAGACAGTCAGCCAGTTATTTGTCGACTACTGATAGGTTTCTGATAAATGACTGAGTACGGCTTCTATGCTGGCATCACGAGTAAACATCTGCAATGGTAGCTTTTGTCGTGTTGCATCAGTGTGGTTTGTATTAAAATTATTAATTAACTGGTATAACACTTCTTTTAATCATGTGTCATTGTATTGCGCATTTATATAATGGCTTAAGGCTTTGCTACAAGTTTTGGGATAAAGAGGTTAGTTTATGAACTACTAGCTTTCTTTTTATTGGACATTCCATAATCTCTGTGAGAAATCATATCTATGTGGGTGTTATATTAGTGCAAAAGATGGGTAATATGCAATGATTAAGATCAATTTTGATCCAAGAAATATTTGTATGGAAAACTGCACACTTTGCATTTTATTCCTACTATTTGTGTAACAATAATAAGTACCCGGAAGAATTACTCATAATATTATTCGGCTTATACTAGTATGTCCAAGTAGTGTAAATTTCCTATTCATACTTAGTACTTAGTATAAAGCTTTTGGGAATTCTCTTATGATCTAGGTTAGTTTCATGGCAGCATTAAACTTGATTTTAGATGATCACCCGACCAACCACTGGATGCAATTTTTTACTCTGTTAATTTCCATTTTTTATAAAGAGTAGAAGTTATCTATATACATATTCGGTTCAAAGGAATATTTACACTATTTGGCACTAAACCTATAAGAGATCGTTAGATATTAAGATTAGTTGTAGCTTCAAACCAATTGTTTCGTTTGTGGAAGCTATGTGTTTTTACTCCGAATGTAAGTTTTAATCTTTTTTTTTATTTGGGGGTTTGACTAAATCTAACCTTGGTATTGTTAAATATTGATTAGTAGATAAATGAATATTTTCTGAATTTAATTCTTTTCAAAATAAAGGGTATTGTGTATTTTGGAGAAGAAGTTCTATAAACTTTAAAAGTCCTTTTTACATGTATATATTTTCTTATTAAACAATTAAATATTGTAAAATATGTTTTCAACATACTTTACACCCTTGAGTCGATTCGTGAGACTCGTCATTCCTAGCACACACTGCGACTGTCAAAGCCTTTAACCCACCCAAGACCGATGTCTTAGATCAGTCCCAGAATCATCAGCCACTGAAAAGCCGCAATCACACCACGTACGTGCTTTGTAAATAGACAATCATAGAACACGTACGTTTTAGACCACGGATCAGCGAAGAAAAAGTTCGTGAACCCATGTTTAAAAATGTCACCTTCAAACAAGAAACTTCTGTCACTTAATTTACAGTCTACGGGTTGACTCTGTGAACGTGTAGGCGTTATGGGATGAAAGTAGCATTTTGTAAGTGTATTCCAGTTCGGCGGATCTACACAGTCGATTAGACTTATATTGCTTTCAAAGCAGGACAAATACCGAACAGTCTATTGATCGTATCAAATATGTTAAGGTATTGGAGGAATCATAAATGTAAAATGCATCAATTCCCACACGTACTGTAGACCTTTGTTTGTATCCACTGTTTATGTAAGTTTTGAAGTCCATTGTCACACTGCTGGCAGATTGAGGAATTAACACAAGTATTAATTATTTATAAGGTAGTTGTAATGGTGATGAACAATGTTAAAGAACACCACTTGGTGTTCATTACACTTTTATTCAACACTCATTCATGACTTTTATTCATAACAACTAATAAAACATTTTATATCATTAACTTAAACAGTTTTACTTAAAAAAAGTTTAGCCATTTAGCATGATACACAACTAGGCCCTTCCCTTTATGATTCATACTAGTGTCGATTATGAAATTTAATATTACCCATCGATAAATATTATCTCAAGAGCTTTAACGTCAAGTGTTTTCGAGTTCGCCGAAGGTGTTTGGTTTCCACTGAGTGAATGCTACAAAACTTCCGTATATAAGTAATTTCCTACGTACTACAGCTTCAAAACAACACTATGTAAGTACAAACTACTTCATTAAATGCATGCAGGATTAAATTTGACTGTCTTATCTTTAGAACTCAGTGGGTTTTAGTGGAATAAATCCTCTTTTAATGAGGCTGAGTCAATGTGCATACCTAAAACTGAAATTGGAGGAAATAACCGTTAGTATCAGTTAATTTATTGGTTTAGATAGTGTTTAACGCTATGCGAGCTTTTATAAGCGATGAGTAAATATAGACTCGATAAGAATGCAACTTGAACCAGTACTAAAAGAAAAACAAAGATCATAATAATTGTGATATCGATCAGTAGGCCTAAATCATGACAGATGTGGAAATTACAGCGGTGGTCAGATTTGGAGCCGGGTAGATGTGCCACCGTGGACTATCAAATCTCTGCCAAGTCTCCACCACAGCCACTCTGCCCCATAGCTCTTCCACAGGTGGCCTACTCTTCCTGTCTCTCATGGGAGGGGGGCTTCAGGTTTTACTTTATCTGGTAAAATAAAACTAAAAGTTACATCAATTGATAGTTAAACTCTCAACAAAGTAAGATGTTTTCATTGTAAACCCTATTTTTAATAAAAATAATAATTTTTATTTCTTTTTTTAAGCAGTCCAACTCAAAATTTACCACAGACATTGGATTGAAAAACAACTAATGAGACCAAGTGATATACAACTGCAATAATTCAAATTTATTCCGCGATGGACATGTTGATTTGGTCTGTAAAATACGAGCTGGATATACATGTCTCAACGTAGCTTTGAAGCGTGAACAAGTAATATTCTCTAACACACTTTCAAATGTTGTCTCTGCATAAGCATGCTTTGATAATAGTTAGTTAAACCTATTAAAAATGAAAACCCAATTTTAAAGAAAAAATCTTAAACAACCTGGTGTCTAAACAGTATAAGAAACCTTAAGCCAAATATAATGTAAAATAGACTACTATATTGATCATTTTATGTCATAAAACTACGTGCAATGTACCAAGCATCGCCATTTATAATTATAAAATGCGAGCTTTTAATTGAAATCATAGGAAAGGCTTCTTTGGCATTCCTCTAGTTATGTCATTGACTTTTGAATAATTAAGTAGACATCCCTTCTATATAGGACCAGTTGGAAAAAATTCTTTAGTAAAAAAAACATTATTGATTGTGCTACTCACAGAGATTGTTTGATTCTTCTCATATTTTTTACTATGATATTTGATGCGGCATAACGGACGCTGTACAATATAGTTATTGTTGTTTTTCTTTCAGTTTGGCTTGGTTGGTGTTTTAGCATAAATCAATAATTTACGTCCACACACTCTGTCGGAAGCTCAATTAATTTACAATAATATTTCTCTAAAACTGGCTACAACTTTCATTGTAGTCAATTCATAGTAAAAGTTTTTACTCTTCCTTATACATAATTGTAATTATCTATTCTGCTGCTTGATTTATCAATGAAACATGACAGTGTTTGCTGCATTATTATTATAATGTTGTTGTGCTCCCTGACCCCTGTAGGGCAGCTCGAGTGTTCTACTTTCTACTGTGCATCACGACAGTTACACTGCAAACCTTCGCCATTCATTGGCCTCACTGGGGAAGATGTCCTGACCTATCTGTCAAGCAGGACTTTAGTCTTATTGCTGTAAGTTTTCAACATAATTACATTTTTCTTTAGTATTATGTTTGATTTTTTGTAAACGTTTAGTAGCGTATCTTAGTATTGATACAACTTAAGGTGTTTTTGTACAGTATTTGCTACAAAGTTTAATTTTAACGAATTTCCCTATGGGGAAAGTAGCTATTACCGTTGGTGGCACGGTAAGACCTGGAGCGGGGATTGATATACATTTTTCCATTTTGATGTCCCTAGAGACTAAAAACACTATTCGTTCAAATGTTTATACATATATAAAAATTTGAACGAATCCGGGATCGGGGATAATTTTTGACACTTCTGATATTTTTCTCACCATCCTTGGACCTTAAGCTTTAAAATGAATCCTCAACAGCCATGCTACCTTTTTCCTAGCTTGAGATATTTCGTGGGGACCAATTCGCTTACGGAATTAAATATACCGGGTGTTTTTTTTTTTTTTTACTTGCACCTTTATTTATGTAAAAACCGCAATAGATAGAAATATGCAGTTTGCGGGAATCATTTATTGACGTAGGGGGCCCAATTGTTTTGAATTCAACGTTACATTCACATTACCCCCCCTTTCCGCCCCGGCCCCCAACTTAATTTTTTTTAAATAGCAAGGTACCCCTTATGACATATCAAATGAAAGAGCATGAAAAAAGAAAATGTTTGGTGAAAAAAAATTGAAAATCGGCTCATGAATTTGTGAAATAATCCCCCCCTTTCCCCCTAACAATAACTTTTTTCATAGCAAGGTACCCCTTGTGACATATCACATGAAAAATGAATTCCACCAAACATTTTCTTTTTTCATGCTCTTTCATTTGATATGTCACAAGGGGTACCTCCCTATAAAAAAAGGTTATGGGTAGGGGGAAAGGGGGTGATTATCTCACAAATTCATGAGCCGATTTTTAATTTTTTCACCAAACATTTTCTATTTTCATGCTCTTTCATTTGATATATCACAAGGGGTACCTTTTGGGGCAGGGGGAAAGGGGGGGAACGTGAATGTAACGTTGAATTCAAAACAATTTGGCCCCCTACGTCAATAGATGATTCCCGCAAACTGCATATTTCTATCTATTGCGGTTTTTACATAACTAAAGATGCAAGTTACAAAAAAAAAACACCCTATACAAAATAGATATAATAGCCCTAGCGTATCAAACCATTAAACGTGGGCGGCAAGTTTGCTACACATATCATCTCCTTGCACATTCAAAACTCCTTGCATCTAGACTGTCACATTCGGCTTAAACTACACACCTAGTAGGCTATTCGTCTTTAATAATAGTAATAATGATGATAAGAAAAATGAACATGCCAATGATTGTAAACAAACATATGAGACTCCACAACTGAATTTTAGGAGCAATGTACTAGAGTTGAGGAGTCTCATATTTTTGTTGAGATTTTTAAGGATATTTTTTAAGGAAGAGCTGGGATTTACAATGAAAACTTCAATTTTTTGAAAATTCTAATGATATACCATTAATTAAGACAAATATAATTAAAAATAACCCCGCCGCAGCAAACCTGCAGACTAAGCGAATTTCCATTTGACTGATTGGATTTACACTGAAATGACTACTTAAAAATATAACATTTATTCTCGATTTAAATAGAATTAGATTAACAAGTACTTAGATTTGCTGCATCAGGGAGGGTAAAACTGTTTTTTTTTTTTTTTTTTTGTAAAATGTGAATAGTTAGTAAGAAATCAAAACATTTTCCAAATTTGATCAAAATATGTTCATAAACAAGCAAACTACAACAGTTTACTTATTCTCCATAAGAATAACATGGGAATTTTAAATTTACAATTTTTTGGAATTTTTTTCGTAACCATTAGGCGCATAATAACGCTTCAATATACTAAATTATTTGTTTTTTTAAGCTCTACAAAATGGTTTGGAAAGAAATTGCTAAATTTTATGTTTTTTGGGTCAAAAATGGGAAAAGCCTATTTTTACCCCATAAAACCCCCCGTAAACCCCCGTTCCCATGGTCCGATCATGTTGGATCGCGAACTCGTTCGAATAAACGTACGTTTACACGTTTGTACCAAAATTCATCAAAATCGGATCATTTTTGCTCGAGTTATCGTGCTGACGGACACACACACACACACACACACACACACACACATATATATATATGAATTTGAACGGATGGTGTTTTTGGCCTCTAGGGACCTCAAAACGAAAAAAAAATCGGTCCCGCGTCCAGGTCTTACCATGAGTACTACGGTAATAGCTTATTCCCTATATGGGAAATTCGCTAAAATCATATTACATCAACATAATGCATGATTAATCTGTGTACCTATGTGGACCTCTGCCGTGCCAACTTTACTTCAAAGTAATCTGTAATGAGAGAAGTTGTCATTTGTTTTATAACAAAATTTTCAGTTAACAAAATATATCACCACGTTTATCACGTTATCACAAAGAGAAAATGTCAATTATTCTTGTCCAAGTACGAGTAATTGGACTTTCTACTACTGACTGATAATGGAGAACTACTACAGTGAAACTTTATTTAAAATGCTAACAAATAAATACAATATTTACAGTACAAAGGTCCGTGGTTCGAGCAAGCTGGTTATAACACTGAGTCTGTGGAGGGAGACAAGAGATGTGTCTCAGCTCTGTACTACATAGACGACGACATGTTCTACGTACAAAACCGCGGGATCGACAACAGGTAACAATTAAATAGCCAGAGCTGTATTACAACAACTTAACATCATAGACAAGAGATGTGTCTCAGCTCTGTACTACATAGACGACGACGTGTTCTACGTACAAAACCGCGGGATCGACAACAGGTAACACTTAAATAGCCAGAGCTGTATTACAACAACTTAACATCATAGACAAGAGATGTGTCTCAGCTCTGTACTACATAGACGACGACGTGTTCTACGTACAAAACCGCGGGATCGACAACAGGTAACACTTAAATAGCCAGAGCTGTATTACAACAACTTAACATCATAGACAAGATATGTGTTTCAGCTCTGTACTACATAGACGACGACGTGTTCTACGTACAAAACCGCGGGATCGACAACAGGTAACACTTAAATAGCCAGAGCTGTATTACAACAACTTAACATCATAGACAAGAGATGTGTTTCAGCTCTGTACTACATAGAAGACGACGTGTTCTACGTACAAAACCGCGGGATCGACAACAGGTAACACTTAAATAGCCAGAGCTGTATTACAACAACTTAACATCATAGACAAGAGATGTGTCTCAGCTCTGTACTACATAGACGACGACGTGTTCTACGTACAAAACCGCGGGATCGACAACAGGTAACACTTAAATAGCCAGAGCTGTATTACAACAACTTAACATCATAGACAAGAGATGTGTCTCAGCTCTGTACTACATAGAAGACGACGTGTTCTACGTACAAAACCGCGGGATCGACAACAGGTAACACTTAAATAGCCAGAGCTGTATTACAACAACTTAACATCATAGACAAGAGATGTGTCTCAGCTCTGTACTACATAGACGACGACGTGTTCTACGTACAAAACCGCGGGATCGACAACAGGTAACACTTAAATAGCTAGAGCTGTATTACAACAACTTAACATCATAGACAAGAGATGTGTTTCAGCTCTGTACTACATAGAAGACGACGGGTTCTACGTACAAAACCGCGGGATCGACAACAGGTAACACTTAAATAGCTAGAGCTGTATTACAACAACTTAACATCATAGACAAGAGATGTGTCTCAGCTCTGTACTACATAGACGACGACATGTTCTATGTACAAAACCGCGGGATCGACAACAGGTAACACTTAAATAGCCAGAGCTGTATTACAACAACTTAACATCATAGACAAGAGATGTGTCTCAGCTCTGTACTACATAGACGACGACATGTTCTACGAGTACACTAAGAGTAACACTAAGAGTCCTTGGAGCCTAGACGTTCTAACTCATAAAACAAATAAAGAGAAACAAAGAAAATTTATAATCTTACAGTATGATATACAGTATATTTAAATTACAACCACTCTGGTGTTAGAAAAAAATATTTTGGACGCTAAATAACTCTTCTGCGGATGTTTGAAATTAATGAAAATAACATTGCCCTTATGGCGGCAAATCCAAGATGGCCGTTAGTTTCCATGGATTCCCTTGAAGAATAATTAAAAACTACAAAGGACATTTTTAATCCCATAGTTTACTAGATATTTAAATTATAATCACTTTAGTGTTTGAAAAAATATTTTTGTGCTATAAATAACTCTTCAACACATTGTGGAGCTCAGACTCCACAACCTGATATACCCAACTCAAATGTCCCGCCAAACAACACAGGACCGGGCTCACGCATGCGCGGCGGTCAAGTGAGGTCAGTTTACGTTGGTGTTGCTGATGTCGAACAAGATGGGTGAGTGGTAGGAGTCTGAGAATATGTAAGGCCCTCACGAGAGGTATGGTGTGAGATATGTAAATACTCCAGATTTCTTTAAATTTACAATACTGATGTTTTCAGATTCTGTAGTCCAAAATAGCTATCTTATTTCTACCGCCACCTTTTAATTTAAATATTGATTCAATTCTTAGTTCACGTTTTGTCCAGTTATCCGATTAAAATTATTGCATATATTGAAAGACCATTGTGTTTCTGTAGTTAAAATGGTTCTGTTAGTATTAATAATCATCAAAGCTGGCTCTTTGGGCCTGTGATTAGCGGCAAATTGTCTCATCCGGTTAAATATAAGGATACAGTTGTCGTTTCCTACACGAACGGTTTGGTCGTTGTAGTCAATCAAACGACCACAATCGCACAAATGTAGCATAAATATAAATACGTCACAAGCTGTTTGCAATCATCCAAGCTTGTCCCTAGCCACCAAGGACTCTTAACAACTTTACAAAGGAGACAAGCGATGTGGCTCCACACTGCTTTAAGTATACCGTTACCTCTCAGCTTACATATCCCATGCCTACTAGATTCTTCTATATGGATATGTTATATACATATCTGTTTAAAACTGACAAGACCGTTAAAAGTTTCAATAATAGTTTGATCTACATAATGTACTTGTAACATGTTCCAGGAACAACAAATGGGGTGGAGTCAATGGAACGGCTAAGTTCACGAATCCGGCAAAAAAAGAAGCTAAGCTAACCGTATCTTTCAAATTTGGCTGTATGTACATAACTATTAATAGCTCATTATTTATTTTTTTTTTTTTATTCACTAAACACGTCTTTTTGTTACCTATTACATAATTTCAGTATCTGTGTTCAAATTAATACAATAAAGCTACGAGTTGAATAGAATAATTCCACATTTGTATCAAACGAGCTTTTGTTTCCGTACAAAAAAGGTCATTAAATAACATCATAAAAAATGAACTACACTTAGTTAAACCATGACAAAATTGTTAACAGCAATGAATGAGCCAGTAGAGAGGTGTTGATTCCTACGATCTTAGAGAACCCTCGATATATAGCCATGAGTATCATAAGCTATTACAGTAATTACTTGCCCGGGGGAAGGTTAATGTTTAAACTGACATTAACATTGACCCTAATTATCTTCACAATCTCAATATATTATCAGGAGCGTATCCCTTCGGTCCTCTACAGCAAATACTAGCAAAAAACTATATTAATCTTATACAGGGTGTTCATTTGAAAACTTTCCATATCTGTTGTGTGCAAAGGTAAGGCTTTTAACACTTGTTTGTTCTCATTTCCCCCTAATTTGGACATGCCAAATCCAATAAAATTATTTTCAATTTTGAAAAATGCCCCAAAAGGGCCCAATTTGGGGGGTAGGGGTGCTTTTTGAGAAATTTTCAAATGTAAACATGGGTTGTGTGATACATCAATTTAAAGGTCTAATCACCCCGATCATTTTGGTGCAAAAAAAGTTTAATTATCTTTAACCGTATTTACAGGGTGGGTCAAAACGTTTTAAAAAAGGACTTTGAAGTTAAGTACCGTATTACCCTAACTACTGAACGGAACAGCGCCAAATTTCTTTCCAAGCTTATTCTTGAGCTACTCTTTAAGATAACTTGTAGTAAGGGCATTTTCCAAGTTATTTTCTAATTTTTAAAAAATCTCAAATTTTAAGAATAAAAGAAAGCTGAAAACTCAAAATTCTTAAATAGCAAGGTATAACAAATTTCATACCACGTGAAAGGTCCTTTTTTAACAAACATTTTACGTTTTAAGTTTTCTTTCTATCTCTTACCGTTTAAAAATTGCAGTAGAAAAACATAATTTGCTGTGGTAAAATTGTAACTAGTTTTCTAATAAAACAGCCAAAATTCGTCTCTAGACACATTAAATGGTGCAATAACTGAAGGAAACAATTCATAATTATTTTTAGGCAGATAGGCAAACTAGTCATTACGTTTTACTTTGTGAGAAACAAGTTTTATAGCTGATGAGAAAAACCCAAGCGTGGGCCGCTTTCTGTAGTACCATTGACTAGTCAATGGTAGTACTAATTTCAAAAGTACCATTTCCTGTAGTACCTAATCAAATATGGTGTAAACTTAAAAAAATATACTTTATTTTACTTATTGGTCATAACAAAAGTGTTCCAGGATAACTGCAAAGTGTTTAACAATAGATATCCAGGTATAACCTTGAGTCATATGGCTGTAAATGATTTAGTTAGGAAGTTTTCTGAAACTGGCTCAGTTACCAATGAGAAAAGAACAGGATGAAGGGTCCAAGATGAATTCTGACACACGTAAAAGTAGTCGATCAATTTGTTATGAATCCTACTACATCGTTGAACAAAGTGCAATGTGTTTTATTAGAAAACTAGTTATAATTTTACCATGGAAAATTATGTTTTTCCACTGCAATTTTTAAACGGTAAGAGATAGAAAGAAAACTTAAATACGTAAAATGTTTGTTAAAAAAGGACCTTTCACGTGGTATGAAATTTGTTATACCTTGCTATTTAAGAATTTTGAGTTTTCAGCTTTCTTTTATTCTTAAAATTTGAGATTTTTTAAAAATTAGAAAATAACTTGGAAAATGCCCTTACTACAAGTTATCTTAAAGAGTAGCTCAAGAATAAGCTTGGAAAGAAATTTGGCGCTGTTCCGTTCAGTAGTTAGGGTAATACGGTACTTAACTTCAAAGTCCTTTTTTAAAACGTTTTGACCCACCCTGTAAATACGGTTAAAGATAATTAAACTTTTTTTGCACCAAAATGATCGGGGTGATTAGACCTTTAAATTGATGTATCACACAACCCATGTTTACATTTGAAAATTTCTCAAAAAGCACCCCTACCCCCCAAATTGGGCCCTTTTGGGGCATTTTTCAAAATTGAAAATAATTTTATTGGATTTGGCATGTCCAAATTAGGGGGAAATGAGAACAAACAAGTGTTAAAAGCCTTACCTTTGCACACAACAGATTATGTTAAAAAACTTTTGCAAAACTTATGATAGCTAGCCTGACATACTACTGGAACGTATTGCACGCGGTTGGTACCAATTGAAAGATATTTGTCTGTACATTTTCCCATTTTGCTACGATTTAAGATATTACTCGATTAAGTGTTATAAAAACGAAAATTTAAATCTCTTTTGACTCTCAATTGAACATGGGGTAAAATTTTAAGTCTATTAAGAGTGAGATCTGGAGTTCTATTGGACCGATTTACATGCAGGTTGTGTTAAAAGAAAGGTAATCTTATATACTGTATTTAAAAAGTTGCAAAACTTATGACAGCTAGTCTGACCATACTACTGGTCCGAATTGCGCATGAATTAAGAAAGGTTATCGGTCCTTTATGTGTAGGTTTTATTTGAATTTTGAGAATTTTTATGCTAATTTGGTCAAAAATGGATATTCTACTTTTCTTATAGAGATTTAACTTAGGGCTAATCCTATATATTAATAGACAAGCATGTTTATTGAAAACCTATTTACTTAGCTCCTGTGCATCGCAGGGACAATCTACGCATACTATTAGGAAAATATTTGCCTGTAAATTTGGAGATTTGAAAAATAAGCACAACAATTATTTTAAACTAAAAAAATAACATAGGCCTTATGGGTTGCCATGTTGGTGACGAAATAACAACAAAATATAAACAGAAAACCAAAATATATGGAATAAATTCCAATCACATGTTTTACTTAAAGCGTGGGGTGAAAATACAGGTTTGCACAATACATACTTTGGTCGAGCTTTCGACCATGGAGCGGATCTAGTAAGTAACTAACACTATAAACTTGGTCTTAAGTGTCAGACCGTGTTCCAAACATACACTAATAACGCTTCGGCCTTATTACCGATAGGTGTAGATAGGGGCAGATAGGGTACAGTGTAGTATCAGATCAGATCAGGTGTCTGGTATTGTAGATTTTACCAGATTCAGCTGATCGCCCAATGCAAATCTAATGGAAATTACAAGTTACAAGTTGTAACTTGTAGTTTATTATAAAATGGGCCCCAGGTTGTATTGTATGCTACACGAGCATCGTCCGTATATCGGACCAAAGCTTCTGTGCGCGCGACCGGCGCGACCAGATCTGGTCGAGTCTAGACGAGGGGAGTTGGTGGGTGTACTTTTGTGAAAACATTTTAGTCTTGCTACTCACTCGACCCTACCCCCAGCACTGCCAATAGCCGGTCCGGTACCCGTTTCGGCTAGTAGCGACCCGTCCACGCGCACAGAAGTTTTGGCCGAACTGTAACTGTTGCAGGGTTGACTGTGAACGGCCCCTACTGGGTGTTGGACACCGACTACAACACGTACTCCGTCGTTTATACTTGTGAAAACTTCTTGTTTCTATTTCATCATTGTAAGTGATCATTTTTTAACAATATTCCTAGCCTTCTAGTCATTATCAAGAAGAAAATCAAGTATATTTTATTTTGATAAACCTTGTATTACCAACATAAAATATTTATTTTTATATCGCTCGCTACATGTACACTTTTTTGGGTTGTAGCATACCTTCGATCAAAGTCTAATACGTTTTCTACAATATCCAAACGAAAGTTCAAAGCATAAAATTTAATACTGCTTTGGTTTTTTTGTGACATTATAATTTAAATGTTCAGTTAAAGTACAGTTCAGTAATGCCTGTGCAACTCTGTAATAGCACTGAAGTCACATTCAATATTTTCGGCTAGATTTTAAATTTGTAGCTTTATAACACTGAAAGAAATCTAAAATCAAGTATAATATCGTGTGCACAATAAGCTGGTCCAGCTGCGATGCAATCCCATGGTCACTTGCCTGGCTCTCTCGTAAAATCAAGTATAATATCTTACCAATATCAATTATCTCAGCAAATTAACTGGTAAACTAGGATGCATGCAGAGTTGTATAAATGTTTGTACGTCGTAAACTTATTTTTTTTCATTTTTTAAGATATCCATAACCACTAACACTTAATTGAGATTCTCTGTGATGTGGATAGCTCCGAACTTTTCATATTAAGATGTTAATGCGATTAAAAGTTTAGTCCACCAAATTTTTTAGATTATCAGTGCAATCATTGGCATAGTTTTTAAATATACCCTTAGATTTATAAAGCAAACTAATCAATTCAAATTCTTTACTTTATTTCAGATACGGTGTGGCTTCTTAGTCGCAACAGGTCTCTCTCGACGGTTACTCAACAACAGCTGTTCTACAACGCCACCTACTCAGTCCTCACCGAACGTAAATTACCATCAGCTCTCATTCAGAAAGCTGACCAAACAAATTGCAATGTTTAAAAATACATAGTTTATTACTTGTTTTGCCACAGATGATTAAAGCAGCTAATATCATACGTCGTGTTTTCATAGTTTTTATTGTAAGTCTAAAGTACGAAGTCTAAGTAAGAATTGCACTTTTCATATTTTAATACGTACTCATGAACACATTAATTCGATTGTAAAACAAAGATTTTAGATTTATAATTAATTGTTTACCTTAGTTTTAAGTTTATACTATGGTATGGAAATTTGTAAACTTGGCAATATTTTAAACAAATAAATCCAAATATGAAACATGAATCAAGCGATGTCAACCATACAGATAAATGTAATACAGTGCAATATTGGTAATCTATACTTATTTAATACGCAAGCAGGTTTTTTGTGGCAATTACTCCTCCCTAATTACTTAACCGATTGACATGTTTTTGGTATCATAATTATACCAAAAACATGTCAATCGGTTAAGTAGTTCCATGGTTAAGTAGTCCATTGGAAAGAGCGTAACGTGAAGTTGTGCAGGAAACTTTCATTTTAGAGAAATAATTAAAGAGTGAGGCCCTGGGCTCTTTAAAGTTTCGTATTTCTCCATAAGATTTACATGGGAAACAAAAATTGTTTATGAAACTCCAGCTGTTGTCAGAAATTAAAAGTGAGAAGAAGAACATATGTTAATTGTAAACAGTCAATAAGTTTCCTAATTTAATAAGTTTGCTACAAACATTTAATGACTTGGTTGAAATTAAATCTATAAGTATAAAAGAGGATGTTTGTATATATATATATATATATATATATGTATATATATATATATATATATATATATATATATATATATATATTGTTTGGCAGTGATAAACTCAGACACCGCTTAACCGATTGCCACGAAACTTGGTACATACGTGTAGAATTTCATGGAATAGGTTTATACACCATCAATTTCGTGATCCGTCCAATCGGCTCCACCCCAGTGGCTCTGGAGTTTCCCATGTTAACCTTATGAGAAATGGAATTAATGAATCTTAACAGCTGTTTCAATTAAACAAGTTGGTTCTGTTCTATGATGTTCAATAGCATTAAAGTTACAAGGATTACCAACAGGGTGCAGCACTATTATTTCTTTTACATTTATGACAACAGCTAATTTGCAACCAAAAGGTGAGTGAGCATAGCGAACGAACTTCAACATGGAGGTGAGTTAGCGTAGTGAACGAGCTAACCTAAATGCAAGTGAGCGTAGCGAACGAGCTAACATGAAGGCAAGTGAGCGCGGCGAACGAGCTCCAACCTAAAGGTGAGTGAGCGTAGCGAACGAGCTCCAACCTAAAGTAGAGTGAGCGTAGCGAACGAGCTCCAACCTAAGGGTGAGTGAGCGTAGCGAACGGACTTCAACCAGGACGTGATTTAGCCGAATAGAAAGACCAAAAATATTGTCTACCCACTAGCATTAATATAAAAGCAATAATAAAGAATCGGTCATCCTTTGTACTATATGTGTTTCATTAGTTGTCGTCCGTATTTTAATTTAGTTATAAGCACTTCATATACAATAAGACAATTAAACGTTACGGTACTTAAATTATAAATAGTCAAAGGCAAGACAACGTCTGCCGGGTTCAGCTAGTACTTACTATTTGAATTTGTATTGGTGTAAATTTTACAATGGGAAAAATCGAGAGAACCTGGATAAATTGATATACTAAAAAGAAAACTGAATTAACACTGTACTGCATTTCTTATTTATCATTAAAAGAGCCGATTTGCAAACTATGGAAACATAGGAAAGTCATAAAACACCACCAAGGAAAATAAATAAAAAAATGTGTTTTTTTTTAGAATTTATAATCGTTATTATGGACAACCTAATGCGGCTATGAGTAAGGCTATTTGTAGAAAACACTAAAAACAAGATCAGCTTTTGAAAAATGATAAGATATTTACAAGAAATTGTGATTATATCATCGAACTGTTATGTACATCATGAGTATTTCCATAATCTTTGAGTCGAATCTTTTAAAGTCATCAGAAATTAATTATGACTGTTATTCGTTTTAAAAACACGCCTGTAATACTTGGCAATTGCTCGAATTCGAGCAACAGGGACACTAGTATCTCATGAATATATCAAATATAGTCAACAGTTTCAGTACAGGTGATTGTGAGATTATGCATTAAAATATACCTTGAGGCCTCCAAATAACATCGTATCATTCGTTATAGTGAGGAATGTAACCTCAACATTACTGCAGATGGCGGATTCTTCTTTTATAAAAACAGCTTCTGTTACATTTGCCAGCAAAGGGGGAGTGTTTTTTTTTATTCGTATTTCTTGGAGTTTTGATATCTATCGTACCTAACTCTTTTTTAGTTTATACCTCCAGTTTCTATATCATTAGGAAAATCTTCCCTTTTGGTTCTAAAAATGTATGCATTTTGGATTTGAACTGTATTGGAATAAGTGTTTAATATTGCCATAAGCTTTCATTTATTTAGTTCCACGCCTCTTAAATCTGTTAAAATCTAGCCACATATTGTTTTGGTGAACAATGTTGTTGGTGCCATTATTTTGGACATATTTTAATATAAAGTAATAATTACAGAATGTAACCTCACTGAACAAGTCCGGACTGTCTACATATTGTTGATGCAACCATGACTCACCAGTTGAAACCCAACCCTAAATAAGAAGTCACTTTTTTTGTAAGAGTATATTGGTGGCCATCATTCAAAATTTGTTTTAATATGACGTTGGTTCATGTAGTCAATGAAGTTAAAAACTGCTTACGAACGTTTTTGAGCTTCTTAGCTGGAAACAAAATAAGTTAGTTCTTTGTCCTTTTAGATCAAAGTCATTGTTGTTTATTTTAAAAGTTGGAGGTCCTGAAGTTTAAGTTCAAGTTTAAGTTGGCGGTTTGATATTATGAAGACCTATTACGATTTTAGGAATAATATATTACTCATCTGATTTATTTATCTTATTTAATTATCTAACGTATTTATCTGACCTTGCTGGAGGGTGAGGACTGCTGATCGCATTTTGTCCGGAATATTATGTCTCAAGTCGACGAGGAAACTATCTACATCGGATCGCAGTCAAGGTCGTGTAAGAAATGAACGGATAGACACGGAGTAAGCCCTTCGGACGTAGGAAAATTTGGTTAGTTCTGACGAAGTGCGGCAAAAGTTCCCAGGCTAGTGACCGAAGAGTAAAGGAGGTATTTATTGGGTAGTATTTGTGTTAAACCCGTTGGAGTCCCACGCTACAGGCCTGCCACCTGTATGCGTAAATGCTTTTTCCCAGCTCTCCCTCAACAACAAAAGATTGCTTATTTATCTAATTTGCTCTTCCAATATAGTGATTTTCTGTTCAATATTTACACAGGCCTATGAACAAAATAAATACTTAACGTAAATAGGTTATACTGTCAAATAGTTTCATAGTTTTCAGAGTGAGATGGGTAGACGAGAGGGTACAATGTTTCTATTAAAATCAGAACGTGTTTTTTGCCTCACTCAATCAATAGGATTTTAATTATTGGTGCTTGGCACAAAAGATCTATGTTAGATAGTAACCATAGACTAGCCAACACAAGTAGACTTCTTATCCCATTGTTAACTGTGAAGATTATGTTTAAGTCTATTAGGGCGGGTTTCTGAGTCAGGTATTAGCGCTAGTCTTAGACTAAAGCTCATTTTAGTACTGGACTAAGAAAAATATCTTTCTGATTCGAGTACTTATAAGTCAGCGACTAATCTTAGTCAAGAACTAGTTTTTAATTCTGAACTAAAGAAATTATGCTTTAGTCCACGGACTAAAACAAGATAGATTTTAATCCTGCATATGGGTAGGATTAATTTTAGTTGTCCACTTTTAACCTAAGCCATTTTTGTGTGTTAAAGTTGAAGGTGATTATCATGATTTTTACCGTTTTCGTGGGCCGCGAATTCGTCGTGAGCGGGAAAACAATCCATTTGATGACTTAAGTGAGGATGAATTCAAGGATATGTATAGATTTTCAAAAAACTCTGTGAGATAATAAAATATAAGAGAATAAAATAAAATACTAAATAAAGTTTTAAATAGTTTGTAAATATATTTGTAAATAGTTTAGGGGTTTATCTTGTGCAGACCTCATCCAGAGACCTTTTTCTCATAAAAGTTGTAATATTTCATTTCATACATTCATCATTTAGTATTAAGTTTCTTAAAATATGTTAATTTTGTTCATACACCGCTTTATAATTTCCTTGTCTTAAATCACTCATCAGAAAGTCATCCAGATCTATAATGATAGGGCTGGCCTAGTATTCATTTTAACTTATTTATACAATTAACTTAAAAAAAATAGGATGAAACACCAATCCTAACTTTAAAATTTTACGAAACAACTAGTTTATAATAATAATAAAATATATTACAATGATAAATGAATTAAAACAGATATAACCTCAAAACCAAGGTTTGACTAGTGGTTTGACCGAGATCGTTGTTTTCATGTTTTGTTTACTATTTCAGAGCAGTGGGAACATCAAACTGACAGTGTTGCCAGCACGGCGGCACAAATTACCCTACATTTCCCTTGAAAATCATGAGCTCTTTTAATCTCTGACTAAACTAAGTACCCGCGTTAAATTAGTCCGTGTGTCCTTAATCCTTGACTCAGAAAGTGAATTTTTAGTACATGACTAATTTTAATCCATGACTAGCCTAGTTCTGGACTTATAAATCCCTGACTCAGAAACCCGCCCTTAGTGTCCGTGTCCGCGGATGCTAGTGTTGACGAAATTTTGTTTTTGTTGTTTTATGATTTTCGTTTTATTGTTTGGTTATATAATTTGTTTGGTAAAAGTTATTTTATATTTAGATTTTTTATTTGGTTAAACGATGTTTTAATTAACTAAACTACACTAGCGGCACCAGACCGAACTAACAATAACATTTTATTCAGCTGATCCATAAGGATGACAAATCTACTGGGCCGCTTTCCCCAAATCAAGTTTAACTCTGATCGCGGTTTAAACTCTAGTTTAACCTCAAATTCACTTTCCCCAAAATAAATTCTCCGTTTAAACTAGGTTTAAGTTAACCCTCCTGGGGGAGGCCGGTTAACTGCAGATCTATGGGTTAAACCAAGTAGTGGGGTCGTATAGCTGCATATAGTGGCAGAATATTTCAGTTCTGGCAGACAGGCTGCAATTTTAGGTGGTTATAGTATACAAGTTTCTGAACCTAAAACCGCCCAGACCCCAATTTTTAAGGACCTCGGTCGTCCGTAATGACGTCATCAAAATGGCGGCCGTAAGAGGATGCTGGGTCCCCATGAATTGGCTATAACGACCGAATGCCTGAA